AATTCGTTGGCAGGTACCACTGTATCTTTTGGCAGTGAATTCTATTATGTGCTGTGTGAAGAAGTGTTTGTTTTCATTGATCTTGAATTTCCCATCATTCATTTTCCAGAATAATCCTAGGTTCTGGTATTATGAGAGAGGGAGAAAATCATATTCTTATCCACTTGCCCTACATGAGGCATGACTTTATTTTATCTGTAGCTGTCTCTTCTTACTTGTCTTTTTCCTAGGTTACAATCCCAGTTGTTGTAACAATATTTACCTGTTATTGCCAGTACTTTCTTTACTGGGCACTCATTCCAACCAACTGATTGTTCATGCAAGAGATCAGATCTTAGGTGGGCTTTTTTGTTTGCTTCCTTGCTTTGCTTTGCTGCAATAGAACGGGGGGGGGGGAGGACTATGGAAGACAAAATAATGTTAAGGGGCTGATGAGTGGAGCTGTACCTTTTCACGGTAGGTTTCATCCAGTTCTGTCTGAATCATAGCAAACTTTGCAGCTCTCAATGATTTTAGAAAGCCTCTGCAAACTCAAGGACCCTTGAAAAATCAAGTTAAATGGACTTTGTGAAAGATCAACAAAAATTACACAGGGTTGGGGACACACTGATTCATTATTTATTTATATATTTGTTTCTTTTAAATTTTTGCATAACAGTATAATGAGACAAAGAACATTGTTCTCTCTCCTGGAAAAATCAGAAATCAAAACCAGTAGGCTGCTCTGCCTCTTTGCAGGCAAAGAAGCCATAGGTTGAACAGTTCTGTTTGTTTAAACCATAAATAAAAGCTTCTTTAGCTGTCACACAATGGCAGGTAAAAGAGACTAGCAGCCCGTAGCTTTTAAGACCATTAAGATACATACCAGAGGAAGAGAGATGGAGACACAGAGATAAAAATATTACACCAAACCTCTACAAGATTTATTGCAAAATGGTTGAAAAATACTCTCTAGTGTTGCACTTTGATTTTCTACTCACAGGGTGTCCAACAGTATCGACCCAATGCTAACATTTGAATAGAAGTGCTGTTTGCCCTGAGTAAAGCATGCTGGCAGATATGGTTTCCTGCAGAGGTCAGCTTTTTTTTATTCGTAGGAATTCTTATTAGAGCCTCAGTTGATTCTTGAATCCATGTTAGCGTCTCTAAATTGTCAGTAAAAAAAAGAAATTCAGCAACAGGAAACACTTTTTTCAAGTAGAGTGGCCTTCTTGACCTACAATCAAAAAGAAAAGAACACAATGCAATGTGAAATATGAATGAATACGTTTCCTTCTGCTATGCTGTTATTTTCCATTTTAACACCACCCTGTGTTAGCAGTTCTTAGCAGTGTCAGCAGTAGACTATTGATAGCTTGTGGCTTTAAAAAGTATTAGTTCTATGCATGTTTTTCAAGATGAAAAATTGTCATCCTGTCATATGCCACATGTTTGCTCTGACCTATGCACTGAAATTAGTTATGTACAATCATTTACACCATAAAACACAAGAGGAATCTTAGATGATCCCACTGCTTCTGAAGGCAACCCAGAGAGGCAGAGATGTGCGAAGTATGGCAGATCCCCTGCTCTAGTTTTGACCCCTAACAAGAAGGCAAAGGAATGACTCAATTATAACAAAACTATGGAAGTAATTAGCCACAACTGTTTATGGGACTGAAAGGTTTCACTTCCTCAGACTGTCAGCTAACATTTGGTGGGCTCTTTGGCACATGACTAGCAGTTCATAATTTAAATCAAATTATAGTATCTGGGGGTTGTAGCGCAGCAGAACAAGCCAGGAGTTCATATTCCTGCTTGCAATGAGAGTGACTAAAAAACTACGAAGTTTTGTTCCTTATTTATCTGTTTCCTGGCATCAGGCAGCTTCTCATCTTTAATATACAGTATGTTCTCTCCTAACAAACTGGAGAAGGAATCCCAGATTTGTTCCTGGCTTCTTTGGCTTGTGTGTGTGTGTGTGTGTGGGGAATCAAAAGGAAGGCATACATTGCCTGATTATATGATAGACCAAGGAGTATCAGGGTATGTTTCACCACTCCCATTGCAAGGAAAAGCAATAGTGTGGTGGAACCAGGCCTTGCGCAATCAAAATCTGGGACTTTCTGATTAGCAGGGACTGTGACACTATCTGCTATTCTCCCTTCTGCTCCTCTGCTTCCTCTGAGCTTGCCTGTAAGTTTTAAGCTGGTAGAGAAATGGCTTTTTCTCAGGAAAAATGTCTTGCAAGTTATCTCTGTTGTGATACAAAATATTTGAGAATGTTTGGATTGGATAGGCAATCAGTAGCCATTAGCTTTGCAAAAGATATGCTCCTCTTCCTGGTTTCTATTTTTGGACTCAAGGTTTTGAGGGCTGTCTATAGAGACTGTCATGATATCTGTATTACCATTACACTGCTGGGGAGGAGTGATTGATGAACATATACCAGTCTAGCATGAAGTCATTCAAGAAAAACCAGACTCTCCATAGAATCCTGGCTTGTTCTTTTTATTTATTTATTTATTTTATTTGTTTCTTTCTTTAATTTCTAAGCTTCTTGTCTCCCAGCTTCTAAATGCACCTAATACGTCATAAAGCCAGGACATTATTACTTAAAATTACTTGTACATTGTAAAATGTTACTTCATGTAATACAGTGGACCCTTGGCTTACAGACTTTTTGAGTTACAGACAGACATTATTACTTAAAATTACTTGTACATGGTAAAATGTTACTTCATGTAATACTTGTGTGGTAAGAGAGAAACCACAAGTCTTCTAGCACCTTTAAGACTAATTAGTTTCTATTTTTTGATAAGCTTTTGTGCGTCTAAGCACACTTCTTCAGATTAGTGGAGTGGTTGTTCTCTGGAAGAAAATTTAAAATTGTTTGGAATCTGTTTGGCCCTGTTGATCTGTTGTGTTCCAATATCAGGTGGAACTCATATATCAGAAGTGACCTTTTACAAGATAAACCCAAACCAGACAGTCACACTGGCCATGACATACAATTCCCTGCCGAAACCACTGAAGTGCAGAATCAGAGACTCACAGGCCATTTTGGATAGTGAAGTCTCTGGCAGGCCCAGGTGGACAACCCATGCTGGCGTGAAGATGGATGTCCAGTCTAAGGAGAATTCTAGCTGGCAACAAATGACTGTCCAGCAGAGACACTGACAAAAAAAAATCAGACCCAGATGCCACCTCTGCCCACGAATTTACACAGGAAATACCATTATTAAAGGGACGTAGTGGCGCTGTGGGCTAAACCGCAGAAGCCTGTGCTGCAGGGTCAGAAGACCAAGCAGTCGTAAGATCAAATCCACGCGACAGAGTGAGCTCCTGTCGCTTGTCCCAGCTCCCGCCAACCTAGCGGTTCAAAAGCATCCAAATGCAAGTAGATAAATAGGGACCACCTCGGTGGGAAGGTAACAGCGTTCCGTGTCATGTGACCACGGAAGATTGTCTTCAGACAAAACGCTGGCTCTGTGGCTTGGAAATGGGGATGAGCACCGCCCCCTAGAGTCGAACACGACTAGACAAAAATTGTCAAGGGGAACCTTTACCTTTACCTTTACCATTAGAAGATCATACAATATAATCCACATTATTAAGGGCTCACACATTTGCTTATCCCCCTACATGATATAAAGCAAAGCAAAGCATGCTGCTTATATACTTTTCCATAGTACTTAAAGCACTCTCTGGGTGGTTTACAGTTTTAATTATACAGGCTACCTACATTGCACTCCCAGTGAGCTGGGTACTCATTTTACTGACCCCGGAAGAATGGAAGGCTGGGTCTGCCTTGAGCTGGCTGTCAGAATCCATTGGGATTGAACACTGACCGTGAGGAGAATTTTGTCTGCAGTACTAGAGTTTAACCACCGCACCACGAGGCGTCTATATATGCCATTTTGTCAGCAATGTCCCACTGCATATTATATCGGAAAAACAGGCTGAATTCTATGTAAGAGAGTAAGGCTGTGACTACACTGGTAATAATCAGGTTTTATTTGCAGCTTATTTTGAACTCCTATTTGGATTAGGTGATCACCTGGAGACTATGGATTGTTTTACTGTCAGTATCTCAGCTGGTCCCTGAATCAATGCAGTTCAATCCTTGCCAAACCCCACAGCCCCCCTTCCTTTGATCCAGCCTTCTGCCTGTCTCTGGCTGTCTTTTAATGGTTCACTATAAAGCTAGTGAGATTTTCAAAATGTTGCACAGCCTTAGGGAAAAGGGACAGTTTTCCAAAGTCCTCCATAACATACAAACACATGTATACACCGAAAACATAGTAGTCTGTTGTAGTTTGTCAGAATTGTTTCTATTCCATATTGATTTTTATCTCTCTTTTTTGGTCTGTGCAGAGATGATCTAGCATTAAACTAATATATGAGTGCAGTGATAAAGTGATTTAGCGCCTAAACTCAGGGTTTTTTTAGGGTGGATGGGTGGGGTTGTTTTGTTTTGCTGTGTGCTGTCAACAGTTTTTGCAAGGTAAGTGAAATATTTTAGGAGTGGTTTTACCAGTTCCATAAACACACATCATAGCAAGTTTTTGTGGCAAAGCTGGGAAATCAAACCCAAGCCTCCTACGTAAGTCCTAGTTTATCACTTGATCCACTACATGACATTGACTTAAAAAAAAAAAAAACACCCAACACAGTACTTTGGGATAACCAGAAGGAAATATTGTGTGGGTGGGTGTTCCCACTTTCCAAAACATCATATTCAGCTTAGGATAGTGCTGGTATGCTACAATTAACCTGTAAGATAGATAGGTGAACTATCATGGTTTTGTAGGAATGGAATTGAGCAATACACAAATGTCAGCCATATCTCTTATATCTCTTTCAATTTATGGCATTGCACAAAATACAGACAAATGGGCTGAATCAGCGATAGTCTTAAGTCCATTCATCTTTTGTCCATATTCTTAGTCTTTTCATATTTTGCTCTGTCTGCAACTGAAAATCTCAAGCTTTACCATGTGTTTTGCTTTCCTTGACAGGTGAGTTTGGAGAAGTATGCAGCGGCCGCCTGAAACTTCCTTCTAAAAAGGAGATTTCAGTAGCAATTAAAACCCTGAAGGTTGGATACACAGAAAAGCAGAGAAGAGATTTTCTAGGAGAGGCAAGCATCATGGGACAGTTTGATCACCCCAACATTATCAGATTAGAAGGAGTTGTCACCAAAAGTAAGAACCAATGTCTATGAATGTATTTAGACTATACAAAACAGATATTCTAATCATCTAGTGGCTAGTTAAAATGAAAGCTGAAGAAATATTAAGGTTCTTTTCCACCTCATTTCTGCAAGTTGCTTCATGATGTGTGTCTGCTAACACATTTGCTTTAAATAAAGGGCCTCAAATGTGGATCATAAAGAGGCTTACAAAGTAATTCACTCTTGTATCTTTCAAAATGCTGCTATATGGTACCTGGAATACAGTGCACATTATCAAAGGAGAGTGACGCCCTTCTTATACTTACTGTCCAGAAAAGACCGTGGTTTATTAATATGCTGGAAAATAACATTATCACATTTATAAGTCATGAATGTCATCTGTCCCTGGTCCATGACTTTTCATTAAAATTCTCACAAACTGCTCAGTCGTCTTGTAACTTGCACAAGGAATAAATTGAAAGCCCATGGCCAGTAGGCAATATGTGAATATTGGCGAAACATCAGGAAGAACAACCTTCAGAACATGACCAAAGAGCCCCAAAAAAACCACAACAACCATCAGATCCCGGCCATGAAAGCCTTTGAGAATACATTAATATGTGAATTGTTTATGAATAATACAATTTCCAAGATAGCCGAAATCTGTGTAACAGTGTTGGCTGCGCTGTCGAGCCTCTTTTCAACCTCTGACATTGCCAGCAGGAAAGGACTAATTTTGTGTTCTGAAAATATTCTTAGGGCCAAACTAGAAGAGGGTATTTCTTAAATGATGAAAGCATCTGATTGTCACAGTAGGAAACATTCCCATCTCTTGTAGTTTGCCTATTAACATGCTTAGTTTTGTAATTGGTCACTGGGAGCTAAATGTGGGCTTCATTTATATGTCTGATTTGTCAAATGTGAAAGACTGCCTGAATTGTGTGTCTGGAACATTAACATAATTTCAGCTCTCAAGACGATTTATCTGTAACATGTAATTTGTGCCCAAAATCCTCCTGCTGTTAGCATACTATTACTACTCGTGGGATACGTATAAATTAAAGATCATTGTATTCCCCCCAGGACAATGAAGTTTGGTAGTTATTTAAATTGGAAACATTATTATGTATCCAAAAATGTCCTACTATACTTGAACTTTTTGAACAACGGAAAAAAAAAGAATGGTCCTACTCTTGTAGACATTGCAGCTTTTGAGAATTCTGTGCACTGTACACCCTCCTGTGGTGATAATGACGATAATGCTTTACAGTTGTCATTCACGATTAGGAAATACTGGATTAAATGTTGAAATGGAATGCTCTTAAACAGCTGCAGGCATTCCAGTTCTATTTAGAAAACCATACTGTACATTACCTCTTGGTGTCAGCGTCTGCCAGATAGTGGAATAACTACAGTTAAACAATCCCCCCACCCAGAAAAAAAATCAAGTGGCAATAATTGTCTTGGATAATAGGTTAATTTTGTGTTGATTTCATGGTAAACTGTATGTGTTGTTAAAGAGTTCATAACGGTTAATGCAGAAATATGGCAGAAATAAGCTCATAGCTGGCAAATGATCGAGAACAGTATTGACCAATTTATGAGAAAAACCTGGATCCCCTATAGATGTTATATTCACAGTGTGGTTGGTAATATCATTTTAAAAGAAAAATCTGGAACACTAAAAGACTTTAAAACATGTATTACTAGGATTAAAGCTTGCCCTCTCCAGGTAGAGCATTTTCAGTAGTGTTGCTAAGAACACACTTATTTAGTCTGGAACTCATCAATTTTGATGAGTGTTGTTAATCAAGAGAAAATTTTGGAAGGCTGCTAGCTTTATATTGAATGTGAATTCTTGTCAAGGTAGTTCATGCAGTTATATTTCCCTATGGAGTAGTTGCTATCAGTCCAGCAGTCCTTTTGGTTGTTTCTCATATGGCTTTGCTTAAGAGTGGGAATTTCTGTTTTCTCCCTCGCCCCTACCTCCATTCAATTTTTTAAAGGATCTCTTACTTCTTTCTGTCCCAATTATGAAGAAATGGGCTGATCTTTTGAGTCCTTATCAGGGAAACAAAGAAACAAATGTTTTTGCCTATTTTTGTTGGCAAAATTCAATAGGTACAACTCTTGCTAACACAAAATACTATGATGCTCATGACCTCTGGATGCTCCTTGAAAATGAGGAGCCTGTTAGAAGAAAAGGGAGATGACAGCCCTAATTTAGGATTATAAATGTGAATACCATGTACAAAAACTGAAAGGCAGATCTCTGAGACCTACTCACTCAAAACATCTTTACCAGGTTGGATCAGTCTCTCTATTCTATTTTCTTCCACGTCCAGTTCTTTTAAAATCTCAAATTCTTTCTGCTCCACTTAAGAGAAGTCACTGATGAACTGAATACATTTCTCTTCCATCCCAATCAACTGTCTCCCTGCTATCCAGGGAAATTCACAACACCTTCCGACAATAGTTTCTATGTGGAGTTTTTCTATACCCGCTTTATTCCTGCCATCTATCAATACAATCTTTCTCTCTACCACTCATCATTTCTTCAATGTCCAGCATTCAAGTTACTGCCAATCTGTTTGAAGCCACCCACTCTGCCTTGTAGCATATTTGTAATTCCACCACCTACTTCTTCCCAATTATATATCATTTCTCTTAGTTCCTGGGCCATAATTTTCTTTGCAAGTTGGTGAGTTCCAATATTCCCTGTCCTTTTAATTCTCTACTACTTTCCTCTTCTCCACAGTTCTCATCATACAGCATGATGAGGGACAATCTATATATGAAAGGATGTGTATATACTTTGCTGGATCCCTGATTTGGAGTAGAGCACCTACACAATTACTACTTGAAGCACAGCCAGTCAATGCACAGCATCAATGAGCAATCTGTTCACTCTCCTCACACCTGTTGATTATACATGGGTATTCTGTAAAATCATCCCTCAATTTTTTTCGCTGCCCATCTGTCTCTCCTGCTTTACCCCTTCACCTGTTCTTTCACCAGTTTCCCATTTCTTAACCCACTGCATAATTTGTTCTATAAGTGGCCCAGCCCTTTAGCTTTCTTAACTCCTTGGATTTCTTCCCACTTAGTCTTTAGGCTTCCTAATCTACCTATATATGCCAACTAGACCGTAGGAAGATTTTGACCTCAGTGAAACGGAATTTTCACACTGGCTTTTCACAAATATTCTATTATTCAGAATCTACATGTTGAAGACATCTCTGGTTGATTTCCATTTTTCAATTATCTATTTTTAATGGGCCACATTGCCTGCTGAACTGCACATGCCCCCATCCTTTCTTGTGTACAATCACTACTATTTATGAAAATTGCTTAGTTAATGCATGGCACTTCAGAAAGATTCCATGATAACAGGCCAGTGTGTTAAGCTAATAAATATCTGATGCTTTACCACCACCACCACCCCAAAAAACCCAACCAACCAAACAAAAAACACCTAAGCATGTTCCAAAATGGATTTTTTTTATTTTTTTTTTATTTTTTTATTTTTTTGCTATTAGCTTAAGTAATAAAATGTAACTAGCATGCACTGGATTATGGAGAAAGCCAGAGAGTTCCAAAAAAACACACCTACTTCTGTTCCATTGACTACACAAAAGCCTTTGACTGTGTCGAACACAACAAACTATGGCAAATTCTTAAAGAAATAGGAGTGCCCGACCACCTTATCTATCTCCTGAGAAATCTATATGTGGGACAGGAAGCAAGAGTTAGAACTGGATATGGAACAACTGATTGGTTCAAAATTGGGAAAGGAGTACAACAAGGCTGTATATTGTTCCTCTGCCTATTTAACTTATATGCAGAATACATCATGTGAAAGGCTGGACTGGAGGCATCCCAAGCCGGAACTAAGACTGCTGGAAGAAATATCAACAACCTCCAATATGCAGATGATACCACTCTGATGGCAGAAAGTGAGGAGGAATTGAAGAACCTCTTAATGAGGGTGAAAGAGGAGAGCGCAAAAGAATGGTCTGAAGCTCAACATTAAAAAAAATGATCATGGCCACTGGTCCCATCACCTCCTGGGAAATAGAAGGGGAAGATATGGAGGCAGTGACAGATTTTACTTTCTCGGGCTCCATGATCACTGCAGATGGGGACAGCAGACACGAAATTAAAAGACGTCTGCTTCTTGGGAGGAAAGTAATTACATACCTAGACAGCATCTTAAAAAGCAGAGGCATCACCTTGCCGACAAAGGTCTGCATAGTCAAAGCAAAGAAAGAAAGAAAGAAAGAAAGAAAGAAAGAAAGAAAGAAAGAAAGAAAGAAAGAAAGAAGGCTGGCCACTGAAGAATTGATGCTTTTGAATTGTGGTGCTGGAGGAGACTTTAGAGTCCCCTGGACTGCAAGGAGAAGAAATCTATCCATTCTGAAGGAAATCAACTCTGAGCGCTCATTGGAAGGACAGATACTGAAGCTGAGGCTCCAATACTTCGGCCATCTCATGAGGAGAGAAGACTCACTGGAAAAGACCCTGATGTTGGGAAAGTATGAAGGCAAGAGGAGAAGGGGACAACAGAGGACAAGATGGTTGGACAGTGTTATCAGAGCTACCAACATGAATTTGACCAAAGTCCGGGAGGCCGTGGAAGACAGGGGGGCCTGGCGTGCTCTGGTCCATGGGGTCATGAAGAGCCGGACACAATTTAACGACGAAACAACAACAAAATAAAATGTAACCTCTTCTATAGGCAAAATTAAAATAATTGATAATTAGAATACTCTCCACTTGGGTTCTCTCTCTCTGTCTCTTTGGAGTTGACAATCAAACAGGTATGTTATGTTACAAAGTAGGATTGCAAAACCCTGAATAAACGGCATGTTTCGTTTTACACAAATACGTTAGAATGACAAATTCTCCAGTACTTTTGCAGTATATTTTTACTGACAATTATTTCATGCTTAAAAGTAGACTGGACATGTTTCAAGGAAATATAGAAATTTTATAGATTATCTACGGGTGTTCTTTTTCGAAAGACGTTTG